CCGCACTGATAATTTATTTAATCAATTTAATTAGTTCTTTATTATGGTTGTTTATGCTGAATTTTGTGTTAGAGTGCGGCACTCATCAGTACCACATCGACATGCCAAAACCATGCGGCATTGTCTCGGCACTTCTCTTATGAGAAGGAAAAAATTTCAAAAAAATGTTTTTTCGAGTTTTTATTTTGCTTGTCCAAGAAAAAATCGCCTGATACTCTCCTGTTTTTCTTCTAATTTCGAAAAAAAATCTCCTGATCAACTCCTGATTTTTTACGAAAGACTCCTGATTTCGTAAAACTGGATTTAGGCACCTGGAACATACGTGTATCGTATGAACAAAATTCTGTATCGCTATAGCTAACTGATTATTATTGAGCAGGAATTTTTATTTATTTTTTACGGACCAGATAACTGATTTTGTGACTAGACAACTGATTTTTTTCTAGCCAGTTACTGATTTCCTGACCAAGAACTGGAAAAGAAAACCAAAAACCAGGTACTGATTTGTGATAAGACTAGTCACTGGTTTCATGAACAGGATCCTGCTTTGCCTGACCAGGCCATCTGATTGTTCACTAAGGTTGCGCTTGTCTTCCGATGACATTTTACTGGTTTTTCTGTAGTTCTTCCAGTTTTGATTGTCTATTCCGCCAATCAATATTCCAAAGTTGATTATTTTTTAAAAGCTTTTATTTATTTTTTGAGTCCTATGGTATCGTATCGTATACAGCTATCTAGATACTATACATATACAACATGTATTCGAACAGCAAGTGGAGTGACTCACGAACATCAGAAATGCAGAAAAAAATTCTGTTATTTTATCTCATACAATAGAACTTATTTACACGAATGACTTGCAATAGTTATGTGATAAGAAAAAACAGTCAATGGAAAACAAAAGCAATGCAGAAACGAACAAAAACAATGAGTCACAGATCAAAAATTTTCGATCAGTAAGTAGAAATCCAATGAGTTCGAGCGATCAGATTGCTGAAACTAAAAAGATTTTGTCGAATTCTGTTCCATTCAACCAATAAAGCATACCCATTGTCATTCTTTAAAACTTCTGCCCTTTTGATAATTTACATCTCTGGTTAATAGCTTCAAGCAACAGTAGGCAAAAAATATATTACATAATAGTATTCGCTGCTTATTAATTATAACTGTTGGACAAAGTTTTTTGCCTAACCGTTATAATTAATTTAAGTTTTATCACAAAACAGAATAAAATGATTTTGGAAATAATAATAATAATAAATTTAAAAAGAGCAACGAATCATTAATACAAATTATGTTGAATTCGTTGTCGACGTTGATTGAAAATCGGGTATTAAATTTTTAACTTTATTTCTCATTTCTAAGATACGTTTTTCTCTTTCTCTTTCATGTCGTATTTCCACCGGATATTGTTTCCATATTAAAAAAGCATTTTTTTTAATTCGTTTTAAATTATGATCTCTGGCCAGATCTTCTAAACGCTACAATCGAATGACTTCTGTTTGTGTATAATCTTGCCAACATTTAAATAAACGTTGTTTTAATTTAAAATCACAATGTCTTTCAGCTCGTTCTTCAGCTATCACTTGTTGTTGTTTAAAACGTTGCCACGATTGAAAATAACGTCGAACAATCGTTGAATTGTAAAAATTATCAGTTAATGTTCTATAATGTGTTCGTTCAACTGTCAAAACGTCATACCAATTAATTAGTACACGATTCATTAACATAAAATTATAATGTTCATCGGCAACGAGAATTTGTTCTTTTTTAAGAGATATTAATGCTTTAAACTGATTGAAACCATAATAACGTATCACGTAAATTCTAAAAAAGAGCATGAGGAATATGTGAATAATATAAAAGTAAATATTCCAGATGAGATCATCTGCTACGACTAATAAATTTCAAATCAGAAAAAGGACGAGTACCGGTTTCTGCTGGAAAATGGCCCCATATGATTTTGAATGAAAATGATCGCAAATGCCTCCTGTTTTACTTCCAGATACTTCTGATTTTCAAAAATTGCTCCTGATCTCCTGAAAAAATTATTTCTTACCAGTTTTCGTTACCAGTTTTCGTCACCAGTTCAAGGAAGGTCTTTCACTTTGTTTCTTAAATTTTTCATACAATTTCAAAGACTTTGACCAAAGCCCATACATGCAAAGATAGAGAAATTTCCACGCTTCAAAATGAGCTATAAATAAATCTTTCAAAAATATGCCCAGATGGGTCAATAGTCGAAATACTTGGCCGGCATAATGACTTTCACCTATCTTAGTGCTTTAAAAGAATATTTCTTGAACTCATCTACTCAGACCCAGAATGTTTATATATCGAAAGATAGAGAATTTTCTGGGCTTCAAAATGAACTACAATATTTGTTTTAAAAGTTTGCCCTCATAAATTCATTGACTAAATACTGGATAAATATCTCGATTTTTACCCATAGTGATGTATAAAAATAATCATAGTTTCTTTCACAAATAGAAAACCGGAATAGTTTGTATTTGGAAAAATGCAGAATTGAAATGGCTACAAAATAAGCTATAGTATGTTGTTTCAAACCTTAAGTTTAACAGACTTATTGGGAAAATATCTAACGCATACAGTGGGTTTAACGTGTGACACGACAGTGAATGAAGTACAGTGGTGTAAATATCGGGAGATCCGGATTAACTTTTATACAAGAAAATGCAGGAAATAACAAGCTTCAAACTGAAATACATTAGATGCTTGTAAACGTATGCCTTCATACATTTGTACACTAAATACTGTACAACCAAGATGATTGTTACTTAAAGTACGTGACAAAAGTCTAAGCTTTCTCTTTTTCTGACTTCCTTCGTCAACTACGACAGCTAAAATAATACTAATAAAGAATGCTTTGAGCAGGTGAAACATTTTTCTATCCGATGAGGCGTATACAAAAAAATCTCTCAAAATGTTTAAAAAATTAGGATTTGGGAAAAACCCAAAGACCTACTTTCAGTCATCCTAGCTTCTATCGGTAGTTTTGTGTTAATAGTTTACTTAGCGAGAGTAAACAACGAGGAAAATAAAACATCTCCCAGCTCTCCACAATATTTTTTCATCAAGTTACATTATATTTACGAAAAGCCCCTCAAGACATTTCTGCTGCTTTTTTGCAGATTTTCTAGTTTTCTATCTGTTCTATTTTGCCAATAAGCCTATTAAGGTTTGAAATAACGTACTATAGCTTATTTTGTAGCCATTTCAATTCTGCATTTTTCCAAATACAAACTATTCCTATTTTCTATTTGTGAAAGAAACTATGATTATTTTTATATATCACTATGGGTAAAAATCGAGATATTTATCCAGTATTTAGCCAATGAATTTATGAGGGCAAACTTTTAAAACAAATATTGTAGTTCATTTTGAAGCCCAGAAAATTCTCTATCTTTCGATATATAAACATTCTGGGTCTGAGTAGATGAGTTCAAGAAATATTCCTTTAAAGCACTAAGATAGGTGAAAATCATTATACCAGTCAAGTATTTTGACTATTGACCCATCTGGGCATATTTTTGAAAGATTTATTTATAGCTCATTTTGAAGCGTGGAAATTTCTCTATCTTTCTATGTATGAGTTTGGGTCAAAGTCTTTGAAATAGTATGAAAAATTTAAGAAACAAAGTGAACTTCCTTGAACTGGTGACTGGTAAGAAATAATTTTTTCAAGGAGATCAGGAGCAGTTTTTGAAAATCAGAAGTATCTGGAAGTAAAACAGGAGGCATTTGCGATCATTATCACTCAAAATCATATTGGGCCATTTTCCAGTAGAAACTGGTACCCGTCCTTTGACTAGAAGATACAAACGCTTCATTTGATATGCTATACCTATAATGCGCATCCGCCTTTTCGTTTAATGTCTTCAAACGTTCTTCAAGACGTTTCTTCTCCTCTTCTCTCTCCTTGTCCATTCGACGTTTTTCGCGTGATTGTTCTGCTTTTACACGTTTTTCTTCTTCTTCTTGCTGACGTTTTTCTTCCATTAGAGCTAAAACATATGTGAAATGAATCAATATGGACTAGATCATATTATTGATCTAACTAACTTTGAACTTTTGCCAATTTTTCATCTTCAATTTGTCGTCGTTTTTCTTCGCGTTCCGTTTTCAACATTTGCCGTCGCTTTGCACGTTCTTCCATATTTTTTACAAATTCTGTCTGTTTTGATGAGGTGGAAATCGATGATAAATCAAGTACTTTTGTTCGATTTGTTTGAGATCTAATCGAAAGGTATAGATGAACAAAAAAGAGAGATAAAAAACAAGTGTAATTTTTTATTTTTTTATTTAAAATTTACTCAGACGTATTTTGGATATTATCTGCTTCGTTTGATCGTTCAGATAATGTTTTACTTATTGAATTACTACGTTTTTTTAATTCACCATTGTTGAATGCATGAATAATAGCTGTAGCATGTCGCCGATCGCTTGTCAATTGTTTTCTATGCATTTGTTCCGTTTCAGTCTGTTAATAAATCATACAAATGATATAATTTTTTGTAATAATTTAAGTTATTTACTTGTTGAGCTTTTAATTCTTCTAGATTCGATATCTGTTGACGAAGAGATTGTTGATCTTGATTAAATTTAAGTTCAGCTATCATACGTTGTTGTTCTAATAAAAAAAATTGAAAGTAGAGTATTGATCAATTAAGAAACATTAATTCACCTTTCAATAATCGATTTTGTTCATTTAACATTTTCATTTGTGTTTTATATCTATTTTCAAATGTACTTAAAACACGTGCACTCGATTTATGTTCAGCCATTTCACGTTTAATACGTTTTTCTCGTTGACGTTTTTTACTTTCATCTTCATCACTACTCGATAATTCTTCGAAATCAAGATGCATACGACGAGTATCGGTTACCATGGGAGGTGCCGTTCTAAAAAATATTAATTTTACAAATGGATTAAAATTGCAGAATTATACTACAACATTGTGTATATAAATTTTACTTTATTATTTGTTGTTGTGATGGTGTTTGAAAAAAATCATCAAGTTTAATATCAAAATTTGTTTCAGATGTTGTTGATGGACGTTGATGAAATTTATTATCAGATGGTTCAGTTGAACGTGTTCGAGATGATAATTGTGAAACGGTACCATTTTTTCTTCCTGTAATTGTCATTTTTGGTTTATCTAATTTTTCATCAGTATTTGACCATAATCGTCCAGTTGTTGCTGCTTCAAGAAATGCGTTTATTTTCTGTTTTGTTTGTTGTTGTTCATGTTGTAAATTTTTTGCAATTAATTCATTACGAATATAAATTTGCCAATTGATCATTGATCTAAATACAATAATATTTAAAACTAAGAACAATTTTTTGAGAGAATAGCCCGTCTTGCGATTATCATTACCGTTGAAGAATGCTGATCAGTAGCAATTTCAATAGCCCGATATCGTCCCTGCACTTCACAACCTTCATAGATGATGAGCCATGTCATTACTAGTCATCAACTGCAGCTCTAACCAGAAGGGGGGAACCTGACGTAAAGTTCTCTCGTACCCACTCACATTTTTGACATATTTACTTACCTTCTTAATAATGTTTTATCGTAATGATTTATTGCTTTTTGCATTTGAACATTAATCTTTTGCATTTCTGACACATGTAAAACTGTTTCTTGTTCAACTTTTGTTGTTCGAACTGTACTACGCCACCAATTGAATGATCTAGATGGTAAAAAAATTAAATATTTCAAATTAAAAATATAAACGTTTAATTTTTGATATAATAAACAAACCTAAATAATAATTTCCAATCGGCTAATGCTGCTGCTCGACCCATTTGAATTCGTCTATCAAGAACAACATTCAACCATGATGAAAAATTTTTTTGTAAAATCTAAAAATATTATCAATTTAAAATGTGTAAATTCATATAGATTCTTAATCTATTTACAGTTAGATAAATATGTTTTAATATATAACCGCTTTTTTGTTACAGAAAAATTCAAGTCTTGAAAACTTGAACGGGCGCAAACTACACGTACCGCCCTCGACACTACTTTTCTGCAACTTTTCTCTCAACACAATTGAGAATATATACTGAAAAGAGAACTCTTTGAAAAGAATATATACTACTTGAGTTTTTGTGTTAAACGAAAAAGCGATTATAAAACATATTTCTTTTAGTCGAGTTTAAAATATCAAAATCTATTTACAGTTAATCCTTTCATTCGAATAAAATCTTCGACTAGATGACTTAATTTTTTCTCCTTCAAATCTTGTTGTTCTTTTAATGAAATTTCTTTTAATTTTTGTAATTCCTCTTCTTTTCGTTGTCGTTCATCTTCCGCTTTAATACGCTCTAATTTTGCATGTTCAAATTCACGATATTGTTTACGTTGTTCATCATCTTGATAACGTTTTTCATTCATTTCTTTTCTTATACTAATAACATGTCGTTCAATTTCTTCTTCTTCTTGTTTTGCTTTTAATGCACGTTCACGTTCTTCCTACAGATCAAAAAAATAAATAAATAAACATATTAAAAAAAAAAAGAGAAGAAGATAGTCAATCTAACAAAATTTACTTTTAAAATTAAAAGTCGTGCTTGTGTTTCTGCTTCTTTTTTTGCCTGTATTTGTTTCTTTTTTATTTCACGTTCTCGTTGCATTTGTTCATGATTTTCTTTTACCTAGATATTTAAACTGTAACATATAAATTGACTATTTTCAATATTGAATTTATTCAAAATTTTTTCTACCTTTTGATGACGTAATTCAATTTTAGTCTGAATATCAATAGTTTCGGGTTTTGTTTGTTCAATTATTTTTAAATTTTGTCGATTAATTACATCTTTTGTACGTAGATCTAAAAAAATAATAATAATTTGTTCTATTTTCTATTATATCACAGATTGATTAATATTAACCATGAAGAATATCTTTGACTAAATCTACTTCATCATGTGTTTCATAGTAGAGACTTGGATTATTGAATGTAATTATATCTTTTGGTTGATCATAGATAAAATTAAATTCATCACTCATCGATAAATTACATGCTTCTTTAACGGCACGAACAACACCTAATTGTTGTTGTTCATCGTCATCACTATCATCGAGTCCTGCTTCTAGACGAAGTTTTGTTTGTACCCATTCATCAAGAATTTCACGAGCTTCTATCAAATAGAAATTAACAAAACTAAGTTTTAATTGTTGAGTTTATAAAGAGATGAACAAGATGAGTATCTACCTGAGTACGCTGTTTCATTTGTTTTTGCATATTCAGCACATTTATCAGCCAAAATTTTTCCACCATGTTTTCCAGATGATCGAGAAAATACAGTTTCAACAGCGTTCGTCGATGCATGTTCTACCTCACGTAACCACACTTTGATATCATCTAAAGTAAAAACAAAAAATTTAAATGATAATGACCGAATTTCTAAAATAAATCTATTCATATTTTTGTAACTAATTAGTTTTGAAATTAAAATTTATTATTCAAAAAAATTTGAAAATTTCTTCACTAAAAATGAATCTGTCAATTCGAAAAATCTATTTTTAATAAAATACTATTCAATTTCAAAACTAATTAGTTTAAAAAATATGAATACGTTTAAAAAAACAAGTAAACAATTGAAAATACTAGATTACCATATTTTTTGGATGATACTTTTGATGCTGAATATTTTTTTCGATTTTCCCATTTATATAAATCTTTATGAGATGCATCTGTCATACTATCATCTTATGAGATTCGAAACAAACAAAAAAATAAATAACTCTCTAAAATATGAAAACAAAAATGATAATTGTTTTATATCGAAAAACAGACGTCTTATATAAAACGGTTAACAATGTTGTAAGTATTTCAAACAAGTGACAACAGCAATTTATTGATCAAATATAAATAAATATATAAAATACAACGAAAATACCAAAGAACTAAATAAGAAAAAATGCATAAAGTCTACTGAATAGCACGAGTTGTATAAAATTGTATAATGTTTATTCGCTATTTAGCAGGACCTTTTCCAGGGCTGATGGTAAATAGCTACACATATTTCCTCAATAACTGAAAACAATTTTATTCACTTTGAAATTTTTTTGTCCCGTTTTCATCGCAAACTCTTAAGAAATGTTTGATAGTTTCTTTACAAGAAAAATTTTTACTCTTTTACCCTTGTATTTTGGTATTCGCTACGTTCCTGACTATCAAAACAAACTCCAAGATAATGTGGAGATTACTAGAGATTCATACTCGTACAAAAAGATTTTATGAACAAGAAAATTGAATAAAAAGATGTATTTTCAAACCGCACGTAATAAATTAGCCAAAACTTTTCAGGACACACTCATATTATTCTGTAGCCTGCGCAATTTCAACTCCATCAACCATCAATGAATGATTGATACCGGATCGACGGTGCCCGGAACTTACTGCTTTGACAACTGCATGGTGACTTGTTTTAGGTGTATCTATAGTAAAATGTGTCTCAGTGCCTTCGTCTGTAAATTCTCCATCAACTTCGATACGTTTACCGTTTAACCAAACGTCTAATGTATCTTTTTCCAACACAATTCGATACAGTTCACCATCTAATTTCAGTGTCCATGTTCGACTAATTTTCGATCGATTTTCACTGAATTTCTGTAATGGTTTACCATCGATTTCTAACGTGTATTCGTAGGCAAAACCAGAAATGGCATCGATGTTTACTGTACAACTATGTTTACCGATCTTAAAATGTTCTTTTCCCACAAGTTTAAATAGCCAATCATTTCGATATATTTCTTTGTCATCTACTCGAATTACTCTTTTACCGGACGTTGTTCCATGTTCAAATTCTATTTTATGAACACCATCTGATAATGCTACTTGCCATTGACCAACAATATCGCTCATCTAAGATGTATCAAATAGTAAGACATATGATACTAATATTTTTCCACTAACATTTAGAAGCATTTGAATATCACAAGTCAAGATATTAAAAATCGAATCTGAGATATTATTACTTTTACACCTATCATCACTATTGTCTTCTTTGCAATTCTTTGAAACATCGGAAGAGTCATACTAACATTTACAGAAATCGTTGCTGAATCCAGTCTTCTCTCTCATCCTCCTATTGGTCGAGCATTCAGTATTTTCTAAAACCTTGTTCTTTGCGTCTTATTTTCATTTTCTAGTCATAGTTCTATCTAAAATACCTGTTTCCACCTTACAGTTAAATGTTGTTTAATCTTTTTATTCGTCGTTTAACTTTTCTACCATGACCTACGAACATTTCGACTGTAAGTATAACGACATCCTCTAGTGGGCTTTCTTCTTCTTTTCGACCGCCTCGTCTGTATTGTACGCTTACCGAAGCGGTAAAAATCTCTAATTTTCAGTCTTACAAACCATGGTTTTCGTATATGTGTTTCATTTAATAACGACATCTACACGTTGCAGTGGCCATGCCGTCCCTCTATAAGAAACATTTTGAGTTATCTTTCTATGCATTTATAACTAGTAAGTCGAATAACAAACTACAATTACCGAGATATTCAGGATTCTACACTATAGAGAGGGCATTCTTAATAACTGTAGGTGCTTCAAACAAAAATTGAAAACAGAAAATAAAAGATCGAGTTTTGTTTTTCTTTGGATTTAGAACTGTTATCCAATGAATTTTTTCTCACGTTATAGCGCAAAAGTGTATAAAATAAGCACTATGCTACACGTCTTTCTTATCTTGTCTGATTAGTATGTGGCTAGCGACAAAAAAATATGCTTCTTTCGTGCACTTTTTTGTTTTTTTCTATTACCAATTCATTGGATGAAAGTTACAATTTTAAACAAGAATCAAATAAGGTTACATTTCCTGTTTTCAGTTTTCTCTGACCAGCTACGATTACCGAGATATTCGTTTTTCTGTAGCAAGAGAAAAGAAATTAAAGAACATGTGTTTCTGTGTGGATATATAATAGTCTATATTATGTGCACGTTGCGCGTGGTTAGATTTCTGTTTTTTTCTTTTAGTGTATCGACACAAGATTGATATCAAAACAGATCATTTGAAATATGTCATTCTCCATGATCAGGACCAAATTTGGTCAATCCACGTATCATAGTAGAAATTATCAATAGTAAAGCCTTGTTCAATTCAAAAATCATCCGATCATACTTTAGCCTTTCTGTCGTACAATGAGCCTTTTACGTACGTTCTTTTATACAGTCTTTATTACTGCTTATTTCGAATTTATTATTCAATCAAATAAATAATTCATAGGTACGTACACAGCAATTTTTAAGCGAGAGTGAGGAATATTGAACGCTCCGTTTCTTTGTTGTCTTGAGGTTAAAATGTCTGATGGAACAAGTTCCCTTTATAGGGAACTTAAAGAATTCAGATTTCGACTATTCCATCGTAAAGAGCATTACTTAAAACCTATAAATTGACAAAAGAAAGTTGGCAGGAAACGCTCAAAACCCAAAACAAATTCAATTTACTCTCATTAGTGCCTGAAGGGGACCAAAGGCACAAATTTTGGACAAAATTTTTTTTCTGCTAAATATACATCATTGAACTCAGTTTCGTACGTAGATTACGAATATAGTATTGGCTTCGAACAGAAATTCTAAAAACTTCGCTCGATTCCTGAGCAAAGTGAGGGTGAGTGGAGGA